CCCCCCAAGCCACAAAATCCTGCCTATGGGCTACACCCTCAAGTGTCCTCAGCACGCCATGGTTTGGCCACAAAACTGTCCCTGGGAGCTCCTGACCATCTCTGGAGGAGACAGGGTAAGGCCAGATGCTTCTTGCTAAAGCCACCAACATTTATTTTGCAGGCAGGAGGGTCCTGCATCAGAAATCCACCAGGCAGAGCATCCAGTGGCTGTAACCAGAAGAAGCTTCACCTGCTGGATTCCTGTTACTTGAGCTGTTAAAGCCCTGCAGGGGGAAAAAGTAACACTGGCAACGGAGGTAAACGAAAGTGTGTTACCTTCTCCTGGGGGCCCAAAGAGGAAGGGCCTGAGTGTGGCCGGCGTTTGGCGCAAGTTAAGCCCTTCGTTCTGTAACAGCGAGTGTGAATTTGGTTGCGCCGTCGCCATTCCGCTGGATGAAACAAAGGTGTAGCCCAGTGGCGGGAGACCCGGGTTGGCTGAGTTGGGATCCCCTCCATCCTCGACCGATATCGTGGGACCCCAGACTATGGCCCAGGGATACTGCGAGGAGGACAGGCCATCCTCCAACCCCGAGGGCGTGGCAGGCCGACTCCCCTGGGCCTGGCGCCTCAGCCGTGCCACACCGCGTCGCTCGGCCCCTTTGGGAATCGGGGACCTCTGGCGCAGCGAGGGGGCGCGAGAGCCTCTCTCTGGGGGCGGAGTCTTGCCCCAGAGGCAAACGGATCTGGGGGCGGAGGGGTTGCGATGGCTGCAGAGCGGTCGGGTTGCCAAAAGACCCCGGGGCCGAAGAGACCAAGCGCTGTGTGGCGGGACCATGGAGGCCAGAAGTAGGAAGGGCCACATCTGCAGCAAACGGAAGCAGGAGACCAAAGGAAGCATCACAGTACTGAGGAAGAGAAAGAACAGAGAACGACAGATGGGCGTTACTCATTTGGAGAGTCCCCTCTGCCCGGTGAAACAAGCAGGGTGCCAAGCCTCCGGTGGGGATGGGGAATCTCTGCCAGGTCCCGCTGCCCACTGCCAAATACAGGAAGTTACAAATGGCA